CCGCCACTGCTTCGGCGTCATCTACTCCGACGCCGTCTTCGGCACCACTGACGTCGGCTGCGTCGGCAAGGTCGTCAAGCACGAGCGCCTCGTCGACGACCGCTTCTTCCTAATCTGCAAAGGCCAGGAGGAGGAGGGGTCTCTGGTGGGCTAAAGAGAGAAAAGGAAAACGATGAGAAAATGAAAACAAGTTTTTTATGTTTTCAGATTTTCAGAAAACGACAAAAACGGTTTTGGTTTTATTTTGTAAAAATTTGTACGCCAAAAGCGTTTCTTATACACATTTTCAGTTTTTAGTCTCGAAAAATGTGAAAAATAAAAACAAAAACATAAACAAACAAGGCCGTGATTTTTCTAGGAGATTTTTATAGTATGGTTTCATAACATGAATTACTAATAAGTTTCTGTTCTTCAATCGTTAGACTTGTAATATAAACTTATTACTCTACATATTTTTTACTTTAATACTATTTTAATCATAATTAATGAATCAGGAAACATTGGTACCTCGTTCATTTCACCAATTCGAGTTTTCAGTTTTAGATTTATACAGTTAAAAGCTCTCAGAAAATGTCACATTTGACTTTTTCTGCTACAGTGAAAAGCTCTTAGAAAATGTCACATCTCTGCTCGAATTGAAAACTTGAATCCGCGAAATGAACGAGGCATGGGTTTGTTCTTTTGAATCAAAACTCAAAAAAAATTTAAACTCGAGTTATAACTTTATTCAAATTCATGTTTTTTTTTTATAAAATTTAAGTTTAAACTTGATTTTGTGTCTAAAATCTGAGTTCAAGTTCTCCCTTCAACTCAAGTTCTTAAACTCAAACTCAAGTCAATGAACAATATTTTTTAATCTTAAAAACACCATAACTTTTTCATTTTAATCCCGATTGAGATGATTTTTTTTCTATGCATTCACATTGAAGAGACGAATAAAACTCTATCTATGTATCCTATTAAAGTTTTCCATTGAGTTTTTATTAAAATACTATCTAAATATAAATTCAAGTTTTGACTCACCAAAACATATACTCAAATAGATTCTTAATTCAAATCATAATTTAAATATGTACATCCAAATATAAACTCAAGTTATAATTTTAATTCAAATTATAACTCAAATTCAACTCAAGATCTACACTCAAATTATCATAATTTAAAAATGTAACCGAAGAAGTCGGTCAATATCCGTATGAGGTCGTAGAAAGATCCTTTTTTTTTTAGCTTGTTATAGTATTTTTTTTCATAAAAAAAATACATAAATTAAGAATGATTCTGAATTCATAAATCAAACGTACATTAATTATTTTACATATTTTTTACTTTAATACTATTTTAATTAGAATTAACGAGTCAGAAACATCAATATCCGCATGAGGTCCTATGACCCATTTTTTTAATGGTATAGAAATAAAAAAAGAGTTTGGAGTACTTTGGAGTGACGACAATGAGAAAGTTGTTCTGCATCGCATTGTCTTATAGGCGTAACGAGACCAATATTGAGACAAATTTTAATTATCGATGTGATGGGAGAGTATTTCAACCTTTTCCTTGAATCTATTTGTAAGTTCTAATAGCCAAAGAGAAACCGTAGCAGTTCATTATTGGAGCCTTTATGGATATGGTATTTTTCAATACTTTACTGTACAACATTATATGTATAGATAAAGTCTTAATTAGTCCGGTACCTATTCAGTTCAGTTAATGTAATTTTTTTAATTCTCATGTGTAACATTCAATTGGTTTAAGTGTTATGACATGTTGTGTATGTTAAATTATAT